CTGTGAGATAGAGATCTTTCGACTGTGAGATAGAGATTTAGACCGTGAGAGAGAGGATTCGTGCGTGAGGGAGATATGTCGACCGGGAGACTGAGATGTCGACCGGGAGAATGAAATCTGGGCCGTGAGATTGAGATTGCTACCGTGATAATTTGAGATATCGACCGTGAGAAAGATATCTCGACCACGAGAATGAGACCCCGACCGTGAGGATGAGATCGCGACTGATTAATCTCAATAACATTCAGAAGGTGTGTGTGAGCGAGATCTCTACCGAGTGATACGCATCTGCTCGAGGAGCTTTAGTAGACATCCCAATCATGGAATTCTACTACGAAAAGGAAGTCACAAGCACGGGCCGCTAGATACAGAACTCCTAACGGTGGCGGTGACGGCGGGTGCGGCACTGAGTCAGCTTTGAACAAGAGATGATACGAGCCACGATAGTTCGGGGACTGCTTGGCAAACGAGCTGAGATGGATGTGTAGAATTGCTTCTAGAGAAACATACGCGGAATAGCAGTGATAGGCGACTCACATCTTTGCTGTTGTTGAACAAGTCAGGCAGCTGAAGGGCCCGCCATTAGCTAAGGAGAAAGGGTAGGAGGGTGGCTTACCTAAGACGTGAAGTATGTCGAGCAAGATTGGGAAGAGAATGTTTGTAGTGGGGAATGTTTTTACTCGAATTGGAATTCACGCCTACATCTCATGCTAAAAGAAGGCCCAGCTAATTCCAGGAAAATACAATGGCATTAAAGGCAATTCATGCCCACCTTAATGCTGCAGCACTCCTGTCCATGCACACCATCAGTTATGCTGTCAAGTGCTGCAGTTGAACAGTGATGACTGTGGGAGGTATCATTAGTTGCCCATTGTTGATATTATGGATGGATGCATGTGCCCCTCACATGATGGAAGTGACCACAAGTGGACAGGAATTTGCTTAGCTGGGCATCACGTAACAGTGATTTTGTTTGGATGCAGCCATGAAGATCCCATATGACATGTGAGGATTGATCATATAAAGCACAAGTTGCATCAAATTCCATGGTCAAGTGGTGTTGGGGTGGATTGTTGGCATGCATTTTGTGAGAACTAGAGCCACCAAGTCAGCTGGAGATGGTGCATATGAGATGAGTGGCTCAGGTAGACTCAGATTGTTTGTTATGAGACAAATCCATCCAACCTAACCCCTAAGGAACAAAGTGGAACATGCCACACTCTATATAAGAGCCCAGCAGAGACAAGATGCTAGATGCTCTAACACTATGGCCTGGTTAGCTCATGCTACATGTGTTTGCCATGTTTGTGAAAAAACCCTTATTTTCACCGCGGCATTGTCTTTCAAGCTATGTTATTGATTGCAGAAGCAGGCGACAACCTCCTCACGTTATCAGTAGGGGCCAAACGGATCCACAGGCCGTGCGAGAGCTTCTATCTAAGTCGCCGGAAATTAGGGTACCATATCCCTTTCCATGCGCAACCCACTTGTGGGGTGAGATGAAGTTATTACGCATGGTCTTTTATTATTACGCTTTGTTACAATTTGGCTTTGTGGCGATACATGCGGCGAATGTTGGAATTCTAGTGCTGGTATTTCTCATAACAACCCTTGATTGCCTTACAAACATTATTGGAAATTATAACTCTATGATTGTTCATCGTCGTTGCATAACTGTACATTTTCCTAGCATCTCTGCCGAGTCGATGCTCAAAGGACCCTTTCTCTGATGTGTCAAGTGGGTACAATCGCAAGACTATTCGTGCAAGTAAATACGCGAAATAACACATGCCTCATATGGTGAACGTAAAATAGTCCCACACTCAAATGGACTCGGACGACTTCCAAGTTGGTGTGCTGGGTGTGCAGCCTACAGCCGTCTGGCCCGTCGCCAGATGGGTCCTCGAATATGCCCCCCTTACTCACCGACTGCGACAAGCATGATGACGCAGACATAAATGAAGTCGAACTCCCTCCTCCTACTGTGCCCCGACCGGTGACTTTGTTGCCATCGCCTTCACCGCCCGTCGTCGACGTTTCATGGAACGGATCCTCGTAGGCCGCCGGCGATGAGGGGATCCTTGGTGCGTCACCTACGGCCCGACCGGAGCGGAAATAACTTCCTCAATGCGAGCTAGACTGCGGGCTAGGCACGGGTGCTCATGTGATCTCTGCGTTCCATTGTCGTTCCATTGGGCGCACACGAGTTGCCAGTTTATTTGTGAAATTTTGCCAGTGTATGACTAAGGAAAGCTGACAACAATGGTAGCAACAACATTGGCAACAATGATTACATCAGAGCTAGCAAGCAAGTCGGTCGACCTCCAGCGCAGCACGGTCGACCTCGATCCAGCGAAGCATAGCACGCACCTGTCCAGCCCTGAAGAGAAGCGGCTTGCCCACGTTGCAAGTCCACGGTGTGCCAACGTTGAAGCAAGTCTGCTGCACAGCGCTGCACCCGCATGACAACGGTGCACCTGACTCGCAGCTGCGCACAGCTGGGGGGTGCTCCACGTAGGTCGCCCGCGAGAAGTCCCACCTTGTCGTGATAGCTGTGACTTCACCAGCAACTTCAAGCGACAAGCTGCGTAGAGTGCCGAAAATGCCAGTCGCCGTCGACACATACGCCGAGCTCAAGCTACACGACGAAGGAGTACAGTCGCGCAGAGTACTGGTAGAAGGTCAGCTTGCTGCACTTCGCGTCCACCTCGATGAGATCTCGACCTTGCCTTCGCTTGCAGCTTGCTCAATTCTAGGCCTGACAATGCAGAGCGACAACAACTAGCGTGAGCTCGATCGTTGACTGCTCTACCTCCACATGACAAATTTCGCAGCCGCCAGACTTCCGTAGAGTAGTTTGACGAATGCTCCGTCGAGCAGCTTTCGCTTGGTCGACCGCCTGCACGGCTTGGTCGACCGCCAGCACAGCTTGGTCGACCGCCTGCCAGCGTTGCGTAGAGGAGCTGCGCCATCACTACAGAAAGGCGACCTGCCAACAGAGCAGGTCGACGGCGTGCCAACGCTGCAGCAGAGCTGCTGTCCAGCGTTGCCCCGTAGAAGACAGCAGTCCGCATGCTCGCTGATGCGCCCCGACGAAAGGGCCGACTTGCATTGCTATGCATCCGTCTGCTGTTGTCTGCGACTGTCGAGCAGGTTACCTGGTCAACCAGGACACCACCAGGTGCTCTGCCCGTCGATCAGGTGTCGTGGTCGACCACCAGGTGCTCTGGTCGACCACAGCACCGGTCTAGCAACACCCCGGTCGACGTACCCCTTCCGTTGACCAGAAGTGTCAGCTGTTGGGGCCGAGCTCCCATCGTCGACTGCCACGTACTTGTCAGGTCGACAGACTGCTCCGTCGGCTTCCACGTACTTGCCACGTTTCGCATTCATTTGTATTCCTAAATAAATGAAAGTGTGAGCTTGTTTCTATCAACTGTGTCCATATAGATTCACTCTGATCTAAGGTCACAACCTTCCGTTGCAATACTATGATCTTGCGAACCTTGCTGACGTGATCATAGGCACGATCCACCTTCTGATCGCAACACCTTGTTGAAAGTCTACTGGTACATGCCATCACAACCCTGCAGCTGTACATCTGTACAAATGCTTTGTGTAAAACAATATAAGCAGACTGAATCCATTCATAGTGGACGTAACCTTTATGCCCTGACGACTATGCGATTCGCGGGTGTGCCATGCACTACTGTTGTGGATTCACCTTGAACAGCAGCCTATCAAGGCCAAAATTATGTTTTCAAACGAACTACACATGGCGATCACACGATATCGTGACATATTACACCCTAACACGGTGTCTTGTTTTGAATTTACCCTTGGACACACCAAAACCCTAATTGCACCGGGAGTACTAAACTGCCAACGGTTTTAATTGTGCGCAAGAACCTGCAACAGTATATGATAGTTCAAGTGTCTAACAAAAACCAAGGCTGTATGTTTTTTGCAACTCACTCAAAGATCTCACACTGCAACCTTGTAACGGGGCGCATTTGTCAGTAGATCTGCACTGTGGATGCCCGATTGATCCTGGAAAGGGTTACAGGCGCGTTCGTCTAGGGGGTTATGGGCGCACTGAACCGCTACTGAAACAAGCCCTTTTATCCCAATGGTCTAGTGGTTGGGATTCTGACATGGTATCAGAGCGGTCTCGGGTTCGATTCCCGGTGTATGCACATGTAGGCTGTTGCCGCTGTGCGTAGTCCTGGGCCTCCCAGTCTGGGGGGGTGTCAATAGATCTGCACTGTGGATGCCCGATTGATCCTGGAGAGGGTTACAGGCGCGTTCGTCTGGGGGGTTATGGGCGCACTCACCCGCTACTGAAACAAGCCCTTTTATCCCAATGGTCTAGTGGTTGGGATTCTGACAGCATTTCCTCATCTGGTTTGCGCTCCATACCCATCTCGACCTGCCAAAAATGTTTGTTCCCGCTGAAAAACGTGAACAATCTAATTTAGCCGCATCCAAACGAACTAGACGGGCGCGCCCTTAGGGAGGTCACGTAACTTCGATCTGACACTAAGATGTGCTGTCAAAGCGCCCCACACGTCGACCGTGAGATAAAGTCTGCAGCTTGGACGGTGCTGCGCAACTGGCGCGACCATCCCATCCCATCCCGTTCGACCATCCCATCCACCCACCCCTCCTCTTTCTCCCATCAACAAACACCTTTCTCCTTGTGGTACTTTCGCCATTCCTTGTTTTCTAATCAAACTCGGAAAAGTAGTAGCCTCCTTCTGAGCTTCCTACGTGCCAGGGTTTCTAGGCTATTCATCTGGTACCTTAGGTGAGATTATGGCATATTAGTTTAGTTCTTACCAGATATCCCTACGGCCAATCAACCGATTCTCTGCCAATTCCTGAGTTTCACAATGCAGCCCGTGCCAAGTCCCTTCGTAGCTGCAGTTCTTCCTAGAAGAGCCGCTGAAGTTACCTCGAACCCGGCTGTGGGTACCTTTGGCTCTCCGGAAGCCGTCGCGATGCACAGCAATGGGCGAGCCCAAGACGAGCCCGAGGACGACGTGTTTGCTGAAGGTACGTCTCCCTCCTCGTAGCCATTCGTATGAACAACTGACCTGCGCACTGTCGGATCAGACGACTTAATCTACAAAATGTACTTATTGCTATTTCTGTTTGTTTTATAACCCTTTGCCACAGGCTCGAAATTCGTGTCGCTGAACAATGTGTCGATCACGGGTGGTACTAAGCGCCAGACACGTGCGAGGAAACCTAAAGAAGTGCGGAAGGGGAAGCGTTATACTTTCGTCCGCATGGGCAAGAAAGGCTGCGCTGATGCACTTGGTGATGGCGGTTGTGGAGCAGACACATACACTCAAGGCAATGGTCAACATGCACATAACGCCTCCTTTCCAGCTGCAGCCGCCACTATCACTCCCTCCTCCGCCTATGTCAGCACAGCGGCGACTCATCAGCTCGTCGCCTCTCACTCAATCCCTGGCCTGCCCTCCGCCTCTGCCTCCCTTTCAGTTGCAGCCGCCACTATCTCTCCCTCCTCCGCCTATGTCAACGCAGCGGCGACTCATCAGCTCGCCGCCTCTCAGTCATTCCCTGGCCTGCCCTCCGCCTCTGCCTCCCTTTCAGCTGCAGGCGCCACTATCACTCCCTCCTCCGCCTATGTCAACACAGCGGCGACTCATCAGCTCGTTGCCTCTCAGTCATTCCCTGGCCTGCCCTCCGCCTCTGCCTCCCTTTCAGCTGCAGGCGCCACTATCACTCCCTCCTCCGCCTATGTCAACACAGCGGCGACTCATCAGCTCGCCGCCTCTCACTCAATCCCTGGCCTGACCTCCGCCTCTGCCTCCCCTTCAGCTGCAGCCGCCACTATCACTCCCTCCTCCGCCTATGTCAACGCAGCGGCGGCGACTCATCAGCTTGCTACCCGGATCTCTCCCTCCGCTGCCTATGTGCACGTCTCGGTTCCTGGCCAGTCCAGGCCCGCCGTTGCACCTGGATCGACCTCCCTGCCACCTGCTCCCAGTGCACTCTCACCCTCGCCCTCCTATATCAATCCTGGGTTGCACCCAACCAACTCAGGTCAGCCTGGCTCCGGCCTCATCCCACCAGCCTCTGCACCCCCTGCTGCCGCAGTGGCGCCCCCTACTACACAATTGCAGCCGTCTGGACTCCCATGGGCACTCCGTGCGCGCAAACAGAAGTCCGCTCTCCCAGACCCTGGACCATCACATGTGGAGGCCGGGTCGGATGAAGACTCCGACGATGATGACTCCTTGGAGAATCATTATGAGCATGATGGTGAACAGCGGCCTGCTGCAACCAGGGTTTCGCGAGCCGCTTTTGAGGCCGCGCAAGCGCAAATCCAACAACAGGCGCGACGCATAGCTGAGTTGGAGAATCAGCAACCTCAGCAAAAAGGCCCTCATGCTGGCAGTCACGCCATGGTTATGCGCCAGGCCAATATGCCCAGCCCTTCCCAACAGTTGCCGGTTGCACACCAGCTTGCTCCTTCAACCACTCGACCTTGCACCCAGCCGAATGCAACACCGACCCTGATTTTCTCACCGGTGGTGGGGCCACGAACGCATGCCACTTTTAGCCGTGCTGTGGCAAAGGCCCACATCAGACGACAGGCCATCGACTGCTCTGCAATGTCGCTACGGCAACACGGGTGGTACAATAACGTCATCACGGCGTTAGATGCTTTCCCGGATGTGAACGGGGACCTTAAGGTGAACAGCAACCATTCGATTCAACCTTCGCCGTGCTTACAAATGACATCTGCATTGGGTGCCTACATCCCCCACCCCGCAAACTCCTCATGCCACATACATTCACGCCCTCCCTTCCCTCCCCTGTTCTCTCTCCCACTCTGCCGTGTTGTGCACAATGTTTGTTGCTCTCCTGCAGGAAAACGTGGATGAGGCTCTTGATATCCTGTTTTTTGACACCCCAGTCACTGATTTCACAATGTGGCCTAGTACCGAACGCCTAGAGGCGGCCCTGCGCAAGGCCCTAGGCCTCAATGAGCCGGAGGAGCATTTTATCGTGCGTATTGTTCTGAAAGCTGACAAGTACAGGAACGGCTACATTCGTGACATGATTCAAGCGTATCGCAACGACGCATTGACGGATGGGCGCAATTGGGTGTACGACGACTTCGACTTGTACGTGCGACGGCCAAGGCTCGGTGGGAAGAAAGTAGGCACCCTCACGACAGTGCTGTTCTTGGACCAGTACGCTGAAAGTGAGTATGCTTTAACACTCCTATCACACCCCCGCCCCTACCCCACCCCCGTTCCTCCCTCTCCTTCCAAATGAGAATGAAATCTTTTCAACCCTTCCACACTCTATTCTAGACAATGTGTTGTTGTAGTGTTTGGTTGAGGGCTTTCCTTCTTTCATTCAGTGTTGCACCAACATCACCCTCCTCCTTCCCCCACCCCTACCCGTCTTCTTCTTCCCCCCACCACCTCCCCGTCCACCTTTCTCCTGTGTTCCGACTTTCCTGCGAGTACCCTCCCTGACATCGCTTCCCCACAGCAGCAATCACTGTCTGTATGATCCCAGCCCAGCAGTCCCCAGTGTACCCTCTTTCCCTCCCTGTTTTGACCTCCCCACCCCAGCAGCAAGCAAGGCCAGCCAAGGCAGAGCCCAACAGTCCCAAGTGTACCCTCTTTCCCTCCCTGTTTTCCCCTCCCCACCCCAGCAGCAAGCAAAGCCAGCCAAGGCAGAGCCCAGCAGTCCCCAGTGTACCCTCTTTCCCTCCCTGTTTTCCCCTCCCCACCCCAGCAGCAAGCAAGGCCAGCCAAGGCAGAGCCCAGCAGTCCCCAGTGTACCCTCTTTCCCTCCCTGTTTTCCCCTCCCCACCCCAGCAGCAAGCAAGGCCAGCCAAGGCAGAGCCCAGCAGTCCCCAGTGTACCCTCTTTCCCTCCCTGTTTTCCCCTCCCCACCCCAGCAGCAAGCAAGGCCAGCCAAGGCAGAGCCCAACAGTCCCAAGTGTACCCTCTTTCCCTCCCTGTTTTCCCCTCCCCACCCCAGCAGCAAGCAAGGCCAGCCAAGGCAGAGCCCAACAGTCCCAAGTGTACCCTCTTTCCCTCCCTGTTTTCCCCTCCCCACCCCAGCAGCAAGCAAAGCCAGCCAAGGCAGAGCCCAGCAGTCCCCAGTGTACCCTCTTTCCCTCCCTGTTTTCCCCTCCCCACACCAGCAGCAAGCAAGGCCAGCCAAGGCAGAGCCCAGCAGTCCCAAGTGTACCCTCTTTCCCTCCCTGTTTTCCCCTCTCCACCCCAGCAGCAAGCAAGGCCAGCCAAGGCAGAGCCCAGCAGTCCCCAGTGTACCCTCTTTCCCTCCCTGTTTTCCCCTCCCCACCCCAGCAGCAAGCAAGGCCAGCCAAGGCAGAGCCCAACAGTCCCAAGTGTACCCTCTTTCCCTCCATCTTTTCCCCTCTCCACCCCAGCAGCAAGCAAAGCCAGCCAAGGCAGAGCCCAGCACTCCCCAGTGTACCCTCTTTCCCTCCCTGTTTTCCCCTCCCCACCCCAGCAGCAAGCAAGGCCAGCCAAGGCAGAGCCCAACAGTCCCAAGTGTACCCTCTTTCCCTCCCTGTTTTCCCCTCCCCACACCAGCAGCAAGCAAGGCCAGCAAAGGCAGAGCCCAACAGTCCCAAGTGTACCCTCTTTCCCTCCATCTTTTCCCCTCCCCACCCCAGCAGCAAGCAAAGCCAGCCAAGGCAGAGCCCAGCAGTCCCCAGTGTACCCTCTTTCCCTCCCTGTTTTCCCCTCCCCACCCCAGCAGCAAGCAAGGCCAGCCAAGGCAGAGCCCAGCAGTCCCCAGTGTACCCTCTTTCCCTCCCTGTTTTCCCCTCCCCACCCCAGCAGCAAGCAAGGCCAGCCAAGGCAGAGCCCAGCAGTCCCCAGTGTACCCTCTTTCCCTCCCTGTTTTCCCCTCCCCACCCCAGCAGCAAGCAAGGCCAGCCAAGGCAGAGCCCAGCAGTCCCCAGTGTACCCTCTTTCCCTCCCTGTTTTCCCCTCCCCACCCCAGCAGCAAGCAAAGCCAGCCAAGGCAGAGCCCAGCAGTCACCAGTGTACCCTCTTTCCCTCCCTGTTTTCCCCTCCCCACCCCAGCAGCAAGCAAGGCCAGCCAAGGCAGAGCCCAACAGTCCCAAGTGTACCCTCTTTCCCTCCCTGTTTTGCCCTCCCCACCCCAGCAGCAAGCAAGGCCAGCCAAGGCAGAGCCCAACAGTCTCAAGTGTACCCTCTTTCCCTCCCTGTTTTCCCCTCCCCACCCAAGCAGCAAGCAAGGCCAGAAAAGGCAGAGCCCAACAGTCCCAAGTGTACCCTCTTTCCCTCCCTGTTTTCCCCTCCCCACCCCAGCAGCAAGCAAGGCCAGCCAAGGCAGAGCCCAACAGTCCCAAGTGTACCCTCTTTCCCTCCCTGTTTTCCCCTCCCCACCCCAGCAGCAAGCAAGGCCAGCCAAGGCAGAGCCCAACAGTCCCAAGTGTACCCTCTTTCCCTCCCTGTTTTCCCCTCCCCACCCCAGCAGCAAGCAAAGCCAGGATAGGCCCAGCCTGCCAGTACTATGTGTACCTTCCTTTTCCATTTTGCCTGACTAATGCTTCACATTCCAACTGTTTCACAAAGTATCGTATGTTTCCCCTACGACACGACAGGCCCTGCATCGTTCAACATGCTTACTTGGCACATGAATGAGCACCGTGTGCCGTTTGCATCACCTTGCTTCATAAATGCAATCAGCGCCTCATTCAAGCGCCCCCAAGGTCGCAGGCTTATTCTCCCGCTGAAGTTACTAGCGTTCTGGCTGAATGGGGTGAGTGCAGTTTGCTGCATCTGCAACATTCTTTCTAAGGATCTTCTCGTGCAGAGACTAATCATGGTATTCCCTACAACCTTAGGTGGAGCACTGCGTCATCCACGGCAGTGATTTGCCGAGAAGCACGAACGACAACATCCGCGATGTAAACATTTATTATAACAAGATTTGGAACTGGACAAGAGCTGCAATTGGAGGAGCAACGGCCGCAGATGGTCCCTGGTGGCGGCCGGATGTTGGGGCATGGTCGTTCGCGCGCAGCGATGTTGTTTTTATTAGTGGTGAGGGTCTCGAGGGCCTAGTAGCTAGTGCTTTCACGTATTAGTTTTGGTGTTTTCAAAATGTAGCACTGTTTGCTGTAGGTTTCCTTGTTTTTGGTATAACACTACGTAATAAATGTTCTTTCAATAACTAATTGAACATCAATAACGGCTCATTTCAAAACTAATAAAACTCATATTTTATATTAAAATATTACGAACCCAAAATGTAGCGAATTTATTAATTTGCTGATTTATAGCGAGATCTTTGTAGCAGCACATCAATTGTATTACCCACTCGATTAAAGCACTTTAAATTAGTCACAAATTGAATTTCGCGAAACAATGAAATATATATCGAAATTTAGATTCTTTGATCATCACCACATTTCGAAACTATCGTAGAGGGAAGGGGAGTTGGGATAACCATTGGCGGTCCAACAATGTTGGAGTGACGAATGGCCAATCCGAAGCTCCTCTAAAGTTGTGGTTCCTCCCTCAACTGAGGGACGCCCAATCGCACCAACTGCCGAACCAATACGAAATGGTCCGTGGTTGGTCCCTCAAAGTTGGGAATGTACTAAGTGCGCTCTGCTCACAAACAGCTTGAAAAGCATAATGGCCACCAACATCAGCCATACTTTCCAAACCATTACGAGGAAGTAAGATTTCAAGTAACACCAGAGCAGAATTTCCGAACGACATTTTTTCGGATGCCCCTCCTAGCTTCGCAACTGCTTCTCCCACGCCAAAGTTTGCTGCATGGGTGCCTGCTACTACCTGGGCATGGCGGCGCACTGTTCACCCAGGCACTGTCCTTCCTTTCCACTCTCCACCTCCTCCAACCCTTCCCCGTCTTCCCACCAGCTCCGCACCTCACCTGCCTCTCCTGCAACGATTTCTGGCCCATAAGTTTTCGGCACAAGCATTCTGTTCACAGGGAACATGCAGACTGTTGAGTGCACTCCTTGCCACAGCTGAAACGCACCTTTCCTTCTCCACTCATTACCCTCTTCCCTCCCACCTCCAATCCACCCCACTTACCACCAGCTCCACACCCGCTTCTCTTACACACTCCAGGGGACTTCTGCTCCACTCCACTGACTCCGTGCCCCTGCGACATTGTCCCCCACATCCCTCCCATAAACCCCTATGCTGTTTACCCGTTCCCCCCCTCCCCCTTCTTCCCCTCCCTCCCCCCACCGCTCCATACTCCAGCTCTGCGCCTGCTTCTCCCACACTGAATTGAGCCCCACCAACTCTCCTGCCTGCCTCTACAGTGCAGTGCATGGCTCACCCCCTCAGAAGCATGCTAGCTAGAGGCTGCTGACGTGGCGGAGGTGCATGACAGGCTGCAGGCGAAGCTGGGGGAAGCCGGGCCGCTGAAATCCCCGTGGCGGTTTTTGTCTGGGAGCAGAGAGAGAAGGAGGCTCGTGGTGCGATGCCTTGCCTTGTAGGTGATTCTTGTGGTGCTAGGCAAGGCTGGGTGGGGCTGCGCATTGCTGGGCGGGGCTGGGCCACTGGGTACCCTATGGCGGGTTTTGAGCATGGCCAGGTAGAGGAAGAAGGAAGGTGTGCTTTGAGTGAGTGAGAGGCGGCGGGCTGCTTGATGCTTGTGGGTGACTGTGGGTCACGGTTGAGGCAAGGCTTGGCAGGCCGCGGGGGTGCTGGGTGGTTTGGAGGTGGTGGCGTACTTGCTAGATGAGCAAAGGGCGGAGGAGGTAGGTGGGGATAGGCACGTGGGCTAATGATGGGCCACCAGCACAGCACCAGGAGGTCACCAGTAGCGAGGCTGTTGGGTGCCGGCAGCTTTCTTATTGAGGGTTTCTTATTGAAGGATGAGCAGTGGCAGGAGGAGGTAGGTGGTGAGAGTGACGTGGGTTGTTTATGGGTTCATCTCGGGTCAGTCTCAGGTCGGGCTGAGCAAGTACCGAACTCAAGTCGAACCAGTCCAGTCCACTAGTCGAATTGAACCAGTTGGGTCGAATCGAGTCGAACCAACACCGAGGTTCAAACCAGATGAGCTTGGCAACATCATCTCGAGTGAATCTCGGCAAACTCTGCGAATTCCTCCGCTGGTTCCCAGGTTTCCATTGCCAGATATCTTTTGGTTCGTTGCCTCCGGGCATGGCACCCTAAGACGAACCAAACCAAAAGGTTCGACCCGCTTATGTGCATGCATTGATTCCGCTCCGCCGTGTTCAAGGTTGATCCACAAGAGGCTGACTGCCCTGTGGCAGCGCTAGTTATCCAAGGTGGCAATTCGAATTCGAGACTTTTTAGGGGCCGTTACTCTCAAAACATCGGCCCCCATAGTGTCTTTTTCCATGAGAACAGAGGTGTTATGTGGTAGGTGTGAGGGCAGAGAGAGCAGAAACGTGTAATAGCTGGCTCCAAAGGAGGGGTGACCAAGAGTGAAGAGTATGAAGATGAGGGTTTCATGAGGATCACAAGGAGAGGAGGTGGCAAGAGGGGCAAGAGCAAAAGGGGAAGTAATAGGAGGTGAAGGTGGGGAGGAGGACGAAGAGAGACGAGGATGAGAGGAGTCAGAGGGAGGTAAAGGAGGAGAGGTGGTGGGTGGAAGTGACCCGGGCTGGTGTGTGTGACAGCGAAGGACAGTGTGGTGAACCAGATTGTGAGGACCATCGTGGCTCAAGAGCCTTGCGGTGGTCGGCAGCGACATCACGTTCAATGGGTCTGAGGCGGTGCAGTGGCAGCCCGCACAGTGTGGGTGTACATGGAAAGCTTGTGCTTCATTCACAAGGAGTTTGGCGTGGTGGTCATGGTGAGTGAAGCTTGTGCTTTCCAGTGAATATACAGGCGGTTCACACGTGTTTGAATATGCTTCCAAGGACGGAGACAGTGCAGGTGTGCGAGGTGATGGATTAACTAGAAATGCATCGTGTTTCGTTTCTTGTGATGCTGGGAAGACCTCCTGGCCTTTGCGCCATTGCATTTCCGTCCCTATTTTGCTGCTTTTGCCGCTGGTTCTATCACATGGTAGAGTGCAGTTTTTCCATAATGCCATCATTATCCATCTTCCACTCCCTCTTGCTCGCCTAACAGTATGCCCTATCCTTCTTCCCTCTCTTCCCTTGCTCTTTCTTTTCCTTTCCACGCCAACAGCGTACTGCCCTGTACTCTTCGTCAGGAGGAGCCCAAAAAATCGTCATAACGCACAGCCAGGAAGCATGGCAGAGCCATGGGCTGGCAGCAGCAGTGGTGGCAGTGAAGTAGGTCAATGGCGAGTGCATGGAGACAGGCAGGAAGGAGGAGTGAAAGGGAAGAGCGAGGCAGCTTGTGTTTTTGTTTCCCCTCCCCCTCTCCCCTTCCCTCCCCCACCCCCACCCCTCATCCTTCCATCCTCTACTTCTCTTCATCCCATCACGCCATGCCCTTCATCCCATCGTGCCCTTCGTCCCATCGTGCCCTTCATCCCATCGTGCCCTTCATCCCATCATGCCCTTCATCCCATCGTGCCGTGCCCTTCATCCCATCGTGCCATGCCCTGCATCCCATTGTGTCGTGTCATGCCCTGCATCCCATTGTGTCATGCCCTGCATCCCTGTTTAATTTTTAGAAATCAGTATTTTCGATTACCCCAATGCAGAGATGGGTGGATGACCGGCAGATCCATGTCTTTCATCAACCCCTCCTGCTACCAACTGCCGAGCACCTGCCGCAGCAGATCAATAGTAGTAGCGTCAATGACATGGGGGAAGGAGAGACTGTGGGGTTGGGCAATAGGATGCGGGGAACAGACGCAGCAGCAAGCATGAGCGGCAGTAGCTGCAGGGCTCCATTTCATTTGCTGTAGCCGGTGGAGGAGCGATGGAGGCGGGTCGGGTGTGCCATGTAGTGCTTGAAAGGAGTCGCGCTGTCCCCACCCCTCTCCCTCCCCACCTGATCACCTCCTGTACCTTTGCCCTCGGGTTCCTGCCACACCCACTGGGAATGCCATTACACCGTTTGATGCAAAGTGATTACGGGAAAGGATTACTGCGGAACGAATTGGATTACCGGTATGTCCTTACAACATTACGACCTCTGGCTATTATCACAATGATCATGCCTAGCAAGCCAGGCACCCTCGTGCATACCCACTTCGTTGTCTCAGATGTGTTTCAACAATAGTACTCGTACGAATAAATTGTTCCTCCATTGTCATTTTTTTTTTTTTTTTTTTTTGACATTGACCAACACGACCGGAGGTATCAAAATGCGTCATGATGGGCTTTGTCGTACGTGAGGGCTGCCTGTGTATTGCTTTGAGCAAGTTGCAAAAGATATCCCATTGTGACCACAAACATCACATGCATATGCTAGGCTGTATACAGAAAAGGTTTGAACAATTGCAGTGCCACTATCCTCATGCTCCTTATATATTCTACATATTCTCCAGTCCACACCCCTTTCCTCCAGTCCACATCCCCTTCAAGACTCAAGGTACAATGGTAGCCACAGTCAAGCGTGCCAGTCAGTCCACTATGGTTGAGTGGTGCAGCAGCATCCCATCCAGCCC